CTGTATTCCAGCCCTAAACCTAACCTTATCCCTAGCCCTAACCATAACCTTATTCCTGACCTTAACCATGTCTTTAATGATGTTAAATAGCGTGTTTCTAAGCGATTTGAAGAAAAAGAGCGAACATGTGTAGATTCAGTCCAGACGGTTCTCATACAGTATGTCCTCTTTTTTCCGAGGTCGTCATTTAGGAACGTGGTGGATAGCCGAAAACGTAATATGGTGACGATTTGTCACCTAGCGTAAAATGTTACGCTTTGGGAGTGAGAACGGGTTGGTCACGCACACTCACTCATGTGCACACACATACACACAGGTATGCGTACACAGTCACACACGAGCACTCACATAGACACGCGGGAACGCGCACATGTAGGCATTCTTGTGCTCGTGCACATAGACACAGACAGAGTTTGCAGCACACCGTGGGGGGTTTTATGATAGGGTCGCCCCTACAAAACTGTGTTTCACAGACAAAGGAGTGAAGATTTGGAGAGGGACACATGGGCCTCGTCTTCCCTTCTAGAAGATGCATGCTTAAATGAAGATGAGTAAAAGATGAGTAAAGATGAATAAAGGTTTTGTGAAATGACTACTGAGTCCGGTGCCGTCTCTGGATGCTCGAGGAATAAAAAGAACCGGGGTAAAACTGATTCCGTAACAAAAGCAAATTTAATCAATTTTCACAGTCATAACATACATATTTGGTTAAACATTCTCCTGTGTTGTTTCAAATATGCTTTTAGCCATTTACTGCCACCTCAGCTCAAATTTTCATAACATACTAGGAATCACATGGGCCATGCAAATGAGCCCAAAATATTTAAATTACATACTGATTAAATCTCCAGTGTTCTCTTCTGCTGCATTCTCTACCAGTATATTGGTATCAGCTTGCTCAGGCTGTGACACCCTACTACTGAAGAAGAGCGGGTTATCGAAGGTGTTAGGGGCAGGTAACTGATGACCAAATTTCTTGAAGAAGATGACAGCAGTGACTGCCACCACTGCAATTCCAGTAATGACTAACACAACTGCAGTGGTTATATAGACACGCTGATGATGAGGTAATCCAGTTTCTGTACAGAGTGAAAAAGTAGATGGTAATCAGCTAAAAAACATTTGTAATAATTTGAAACAAGATATGTAAAATAAATAGTTAAAAGAGGTGTTTCTTACTCGATGATGGTGATGGCTTTGGTAGCAATACTACAAAAGGAAAAAAAAGAACAATCAAATAAGACACTTTATCACAAAGTAACTGTACTTCATTTAAAAATAAAAGTAAATTGCTATGGAGTAAACAGGTATTTGCATTTGTAACACGGTAACAAGAGTTATTCCTTTTGGATTCATATGACTGTCTCATGTCTGTTGTGAACATCTTACAAGAGATTCATATCATTACAGAAAAGAAAAAGAGAAAACACTGTTATAAATAAAGATTATTTTACCTTTTTGTATCTTGCAGATGTAAGGTCTTTGAACCCACATGCCAATATCTGTCCATGTCCCATCTGATGTACTAATCTCTCCTCTGCGGGGTAATCTGCTGCCATTAACAGGTTGACCTTCAGCCCAGTTAGTGTAACTAATGACTGTTTTATCCAACCAGAGCCATTCCTCTGCAGGCAAATAGACAAAAACAACAGTGTACATCATTTTAAAAAAATATTTATTTTGAACTGAAAATTTGGTTTAAAAACAAATGATCAAAAAATATGTTACTATTGTTATTATTATTATTATTTACCATAAAAATAAATAATGACTCACCTTTGTGTTGTTTTTTAAACAGGCCAATCCAGAAAGATGTGTAGCCATCTTGAAAAGTTCTCAGGTTAATTTCTAGAAATTTTTGCTCAGAGGAATCTTCAATGCTGGCAAGCATTCCACCTTAACAAAACAAATCAGTTGTTAATGAAAACTACAGCAATTTATTGCATAAAAGTATCTTTCAGATAAGTCGCCTACCATGTGCTACACAGCTGGTAGATGCTTCTTGCCAGCGCTTTTGCTCTGTAATAAAAATATAACAATAACCCCTGAATGGTACCCAGATATAGTTCTTGTTTTCTATTGTTGCCTCTGGGTCTAGAGGACAAACTCCTGGAAAAAGAGTTGACTCTGTTGGCAGCACATCTGTGAATGAGACAATGATGTCAATGAGATCAATGAATTACATCTTTTAAAACTCTTAAATGTATTGTTTTGACAACAAACGTGTGTGTGTGTGTGTGTGTGTGTGTGTGTGTGTGTGTGTGTGTGTGTGTGTGAGAGAGAGAGAGAGAGAGAGAGAAATTTTACGGACATCAGTACCTGTGATCTGTAATTTAAGCTTCTCAACAGTGATTCAAGTTTAAATGAAACAGACATGCCAGTCATTACAGGGTTATAGGGTATCTATTAGCCAGTGTTTGGTCGTACCTGTCGACTTCATGCAAACACTCATTAGTGTCTCGTTACAGTGAGTGGTTTTCCATTTTCCATCCACATCCATGTATACACAACTTCTGTCCTTGCTTGGTTCATTTTTACCCCATCGACTGAATATTAAATGCCATCCATCAACATAGCGGAAAGAACCATTGATCTGAAAGAAAAGATTAATGAGACAGCAGTTACCAATCAAGAAAACTAGCAGAACCATAGGAACCCTCTCATCTGTAATCCAGTTTTGAGATCCCTTCCCACACGCCTTAACGCCCTCTCACATCTTGTGTCATTTGATCTGAGTAACTCAAATGATAGGGTGGCATAAGATCTAACAGTGGGTTCACCGGAAACCTTGGCTGATTGTGACCCACACCTGTTTTTATCTATTTTATTCGGCTTTTAGGAATATTTCCCTTAGTAAGCATAGCTGCACAGAGGATATAACAGTTGAACGGAGTTGACTCAAACTAACATGATAATCTATACTGCTCAAAAAACAGGTAGTCCAGCTCCTCCAGGATGGCAAATCAAAATGTACCATTGCCAGAAGGTTTGCTGTGTCTCCCAGCAGAGTCTCAAGAGCATTGAAGAGATTCCAGGAGACAGTTACTCTGGAAGAGGTGGACAGGTCTTTAGAAGGTCCTTAACTCATTAGCAGGATCAGTATCTGCTCCTTTAGCTAAGACAGCCGGAGCTGGGTAAAATGATGGAGTTTAAAGTAACAGTTTAAGAGTTTACATAAGAAGTGCTGCTGCTCAACATGCCTTCCTCTCACAGAGCATCTCCCTGCTGGATTAGGGAGGCTGCACTGATCATGCCCTGGGTAAGGTAGGCACTTTAGTAAAACAGTGAAACTTTCCACAAT